CATTTACGAATATTTTCAAAAAACGAAAGAAAAAGCATATATATATATACATATACATACATACATATACACACATACATATGAAATATACTTGTACTCGTGATTATTCATTATAAATTTTCTCTAATTTCGATTAATTAACAATACGTATTAATCTACTAAATATGACTGACATTAATGCGAAATACGAATGTACATTAAAAGTACAATCGAATACCCATCTACCAAAACGAATCAATGGATAATTCTAACGAATAATATCTAACATGTATTATCATTATCATTATTATTATTATTATTATTATTATTATTATTATTATTATTATTATTATTATTATTATTATTATTATTATTATTATTATTATTACTTTTTTTTATAAATAGATTGTACTTCAATTATATAAAATCTATTATTAGTAATCTAAAAATCGATAGAACTAATGACATGAGTAAACAATAAAACCAATTATATCTAAACATATCTATCATCGAAATATAAAATTATAGTCTTCGACTGTATAAATAATATAAAATTAATTATCTTCGATTTCGAATTCGAAAATTTATCCTTACGTCGTCGAGAGCGTATAGTAAACGATAGTAAAAAAGAAAAGGAGAAGAAGAAGAAAAAGAAGAAGAAGAAGAAGAAGAAGAAGAAGAAGAAGAAGAAGAAAAAGAAGAAAATAAACAGGAAAAAAAAGAAAAAGAAGAAAATAAAAAGAAACACGAAAAAAAAAAAGTAAATATGGTCAGAGGATAGATATCGATGGTTTTGAATATATATATATATATATATATATATATATATATACATAGATAGTAGACGTTCTCTTTGATAATCTCAAAACGAAACTCTCGTGATAGGTGCGACACGATTATACGCTTGGCCGGGATGTCCGAGGCAGGACTAATCACTGGCGTACAATTTGTGCGGTCGCGCGAACGATAACTTGCCCCGTTACTACCTACAATTCCCGGGTGTTTCGTGCTACGTCCTGCATTTGACGTATTTTGTATTTTCGTTAAAGGTAAGTGGACGACGTATTCAATGTACGGCCTTACAACTTTGTAATTAACGTGAGACTGTGTGAAAGGCTCTCTCTCTCTTTCTTTCTTTCTCTTTCTCTCTCTCTCTCTCTCTCTCTCTCTCTCTCTCTCTCTCTCTCTGTCTCTCTCTCTCTCTCTCTGTCTCTCTCTCTCTTTTCGCGTTTGTGTGTGTATGTGTTACGAAAATTATTCACATCCTTACACAATCGTACATAATTTCAGTTTTATTTTCTCATTTTTCATTTTTTCTTTATATATATATATATATATATATATTTTTTTTTTTAATTTTTTATTTATTTATTTATCCCTTTGTTATTATCGTTAACAACTGGAACGAATTATTTTAATGTCATTTATAAACGAGAATAGATTGACGAGTAAAGCTTTTCTCTTTTCCTTTTTTCTTTTTTTTCTTTTTCTTTTTTTTTTTTTTCTTTTTTTTGACGATTAGACGAAGCGTACTTACGAATTCGTTTTTTTTTTTTTTTATTGTTTCTTAACGCGCTATGAATGTTGTTATTCATTATTATGACGCATTATTCTACATATAATAAATATATTTTATGAAAAATAAATTTCATAACGAATAAACTCGATTCTTGAATTTAGATGGCATATCCTCGAAACAGAGATAGATTGGATTGATAATAATAATGATAATAATAAAAATCCAACTTTTTAAATCATCCAGTTTTTTAATCGAACTACTTAAATAAATTAACGCTTGATATATATTCCGAGTACCGATAAAAAAAAGATAAAAACAAAAATATTTCTCGGAAGAAAGATTATACCATTACACATTTATCTATTCCTACGCGTATACGAATTCGTTATTATAAATACGTGTATACTTCACATGTGCATTGATACGCATATCCTATAATGAAAACATATTTTCCGAAAAACAAATTCGATTGCAAATAAATTCAATTTACGAATCTATGCAGCAGGTACGCGCTCGAATCGTTGGATACGGATTGCATTTATGAAAAAATAAAAAAAAATAAAAAAATAATAAAAAATGGAAAAAAAGAAGAGTAATATTAAAAAAAACATACATATGTTTCAATCGAGCCTTTTTAATGTGAACATTTGAATATCTCCTTCATATATATGTATATATATATATATATATAAAAGAGATAAAAAAAATAATAACAAAAATGCACTAAGGTAAAACAAAAAGAAAAAAAAAGAAAAAAATTACACTTACATTTATCTATCCCTCTCTTTTCGTATGAATTTGTTAACTCGTTATTATAGATACTATACGTTTGATATGCATCGACGTGTTTGTTAATGAAATAATATTTTACGGGATACAAATTTGATCGGGAATAAACACAATTTGCAAATTTATATGGAGTTTACATAAATTCGAAATGGATCGAGTCGATAATAAAACAAAACGAAAAAAAGAGATAAATAAAAAAAAGAATAAAATAAC